GAGAAGTTACAGAAGGGACACCTGCAGCCCAAAAATAAAATGCCATTAATGCAGAATGCCAAACATAGCTTGACTGAAAGCAGATTTAGTCAAGTAGCCGTGTGGAAGTTCCTAAGGCTGCCAACCCAAGGCCTGTCGCCAGGATGTGCTGACTATTGCCTTTTTGCTCATATTTCTTCGATCACTTCCCTGCTTGCAATCAAAAGTTACAGAAGGGACACCTGCAGCCCAAAAATAAAATGCCATTAATGCAGAATGCCAAACATAGCTTGACTGAAAGCAGATTTAGTCAAGTAGCCGTGTGGAAGTTCCTAAGGCTGCCAACCCAAGGCCTGTCGCCAGGATGTGCTGACTATTGCCTTTTTGCTCATATTTCTTCGATCACTTCCCTGCTTGCAATCAAAATATTATATGCTCAGCACTGCCTTTGACCATGTAATTTAGAGGATCAGCACAGCGTTGGCAAGCAAGTCTTGGGGGAGACAAGTCTATTGAATTTTAATCTGCTCCTAGTCAAAGGCAGAATAACAACAGACCTGGGAAGGCAGAAGCCTGAATTTATAATCCAGCTCTTTGAAAGCTACCTGTCTCAGAGTCAGCACACATTTAGGGTTTCAGGGAACAATTTTCTACAACAGTAAGTGCAGCCTGTATCCTCTGTGGGACACTCACCTGACAAGCTCATCTGCACAGGCAGCAGCCACCTCCTCCTCAGCTTTCCGCTCATAGTATTTACAGAGGATGGTCTCTGGAAGCACTTTCTCCAGCTCACTGGTGGGGAAGGAACATGTGCAACTGCCTTCCATGCAGCTGAGCTCTGACTAGAGTTGGAAAGAAAGCTCAGGTTCAGTAGGACACCAGCAAAAAGCAAAACTCAGTATCCAGAACATTTCCAAATAAAGCAGTGCAGAGCCTTGCGAGAGCTTAAGTCAGCAGATCACAGAGTGGTTTGGTTGGAAAGGACCTTAAAAATCAACCAGTTCCAACCTCCTGCCATGGGCAGGGACACCCTCCACTAAACCGGGTCGCTATAAGCCCCATCCAACCTGACTTTGAACACTGCCAGGGTTGGGGCAACTACAGCTGCTCTTGGGCAACCTGTGCCAGAGCCTCACCACCCTCACAGGGAAGAATTTCTTCCCAGTATCTAATCTAAATCTACCTAAGTTGGCTGCCAGGGAGTGGGTTCACTACAAAAAGAATAAGACTAGTTAAACAGATCAGGCCTTAAACAAATGCTGGGCATGAAGATGCTGTAGACAGCTAGGATCAGAGTTCACTGCAAGTCCACTATGACCACGTATCAGCCTGTTATTACTGTACAGTCCTGCTGAGAACCAGCACTCTGCTCACAAGCAGCTTGGTGCTTTCTTTCCAATAATCTCACATAAAATACAGCTGCCAGTTTATACATTTACATGAAACAGATCCCAGAGTACATCATCCCACAGTTTGAGCATCATATCTCAAGGCAAAGGAGCACACTCAGCTCTGAGACTTGTTTATAGCTCAGCTAAGTACCAGGATAATTGGTAGCTAAATCATAGACTAAGGAGGTTAGTAGTACCATAGAGGAACCAATACCCAAATTAAGTTGGGATCAGAGTGATATTATGAAGGACAAACACTTTAGGCTAGGAGAAGATTGGCCAAGTCAGAGAAGAGTGTCCTCTGTGCAGACACTACTGGTTTATCAAGTAGAAAATACACCCCAGACAAGTTATTGTTGTTGCTATGAATGCTGTGGAAAGTTTCCCAATAATCAAGTTGCTAAGCGCAGAAAACAAAAAGTGGAGGTTAGCAAAACTGAAATCCTGTGCAAAGATCCCATTGTGAAGTTGCTGGCTTCACTCAGTGGTGAGACTGACTTGGATTTCAGGACACCATTCCATTCAAATACTTCCTGGGATGTGCAGTTACATCTGTCTTCAGCAACAGCATTACCCAAACAACAATGTCATCTCCCAACAGTAATTTATCCATTTCCCCCTTGTTCAGTTGTGAAATTCTTACCTTCCCAGAGCCAAAAACTGCCTCCTGAGCATATTTAATTAGGCACTCCTTGCAGAACAAGTGTCCATCTGCACACTGAGTCAGCTCTTCGAAGGCAAACTCCCCATAGCAGCAGCGGCACTCAATCATCTGCCCATCCTGCAGCCACCAGCAGAGGAATCAGCATCAAAACATCCATAGCTATAGCAACACACACACACAACTACAAGCCATAAACAATGCCAGCATTAATGCTAAAAACCAGCAACGGATATGCATCATTCCATTAGATATCCTCTTTGGTGGTCAAAATTCCCTAAGCACTACCAGAACCTCAGTTTTGAGTCAATATCTACATGTCCTGCTTGACAAGTTTCAAAAAGCCACAGAACATGTGGTGATTAATAATTTTTAGCTCACAGGCAAAGAAGCATCTTGGGTTGGGAAGCTGCAGTCGCAGGGAAGCAGCAGAGTGTACATCACTCTCATGGGGAAAACCAAGACTCAGATCTGTTACCCTCTAAAGGAGCATTTACCATCTGCCTGGGGAGACCCTGTCTTGGCCTCTTCACTGCAGGGAAAGAACAGAAGGCAAGCAAGAACTTGCCACTGCTAAAAAGTAAGTATAGTCTACTTCTTCTCCAAAGTCTGAAGAGCAATAGGCATTGAGACCAAAAAGGTAACCCACAGCTACTGAACTGCTCTCTAAATTTCTGTTTGAAGTGAAAGACCTGATTTTCAGGTTTTTAAAGAATTCTTTCTGCAAGTGAGGAAGGCCTTTCCCCTGGCAGAGCTCCAACAGCAGCATATCTGTTTTCAACAGCCATAATGGTGGGAGCAAGTGCTATTCTATTGCAGTGTTTGTTCTGAGCAGTAAAGATACAAGCTGAATTACTACAGATCATTACATGCATCAATACTGTCTTGCTGGCCTCAGCTCATCTCCCTTTCCCAAAAGCCAGACACACACTAGGCAGGTTTTGCCAGCTCAGCAAAGGCAGCACAGTGAAAAGCAGCCTCAGAAAAGGTCCACTCCAGAGCCCAGAGAGTCTGTGAAGAACTAAGTGCAAAACAGTGTCTATGCATAAGCTGAACTCAATGGATCAGGGGATAGATACTGACCTTCTGGTACTGCTCCTCATTCATCTGCAGAGCCAGGAGGAAGTCTGCATGCTGTAAGAACGACATGAGCATCTGTATTTACAGAATAGATAAAGCAATTTTCCAAACTCCACACTCATTTACATTATTTCAGGACTTACAAACCACCATAAAAGGCCTACTGTCTGCTTCGAACATCACTCAGCCCATCCCTCCAATCCATTAAGCTATTTATGATTCAGCTAAAACAGATGGGAGAAGCAAAGGCAGCAAGAACAAAGAAACAAATTCTATATTGTAGATGGCTACTGGTTCAGGTTTCCATAGGCACAGATGATCTTACCCCACAGGCCCCTCCAGAGAACATTAGCTGTGTGTTTCAAAGGAGACACTGTCCATCTGCCTAGGAGACAAGGATCTTTAAGGAGCTACTTTAGAAAGGGGGGTGGGTGCTGAGCTGTGAATTCAGTCTTTCCTCAGCCTACAAGAGGAAGACAACACCAGTGGGTGTTACAGGGTTCTTCTTCAAAACACATGGTCCTCAGCACAGGACAAGCAGCTCTGGAGCCACAGGACTGCCAACTTGTGGAAGGCTGAGTGAGTGGACAGACTGCTTTGGGCCTGGCCATTATTCAGTACCACCACCACTGAGCTGCAATTAGGGCAAACAAGCCCTAAAGCAGCAGGGAAGCTGCTAACAATTAGAGGAAAGAATTAATTAGTAGAGCTTGTACCACTTCATAGCAATAAAAACTCCAGAACAGTATACAAGTAGCAGCTGCATATTTAAGTAAACATGAAACTCTGTGCTTAGCTTTTTTTCTTCAAAATGAGCTACCTAAGGACATGTTAACAGGTAGGAAAGAGGCAAACATAGCTATTCAATATTTGGTTCAGTATGTGAATTTCTCCAAGAGCAGATTTTCATGTTTAGGGCCAAAACCTTGACAGCTGTTGAAGTCATTTGCAGCACAAGATGAAAGCAGCTCCTACCACTCACCTCTGCCATCTCTTTGACTTTTTGCTCATAGAATTCCTGCTCCAGTAGCACCGGGGGGAGAAGAGAGAGTTTGTCATAGGACCTCCAGTGCCGTCTCTTGTTCTCCAGGAAGAACATGCGCTTCTCAATTTTCACATCCCCTGAAGCGGAGTTAAAGGCACAATGAAATGGGATGGAGCAGCCAGAGCAAAGCTGAAATCCTCCTTCCTCCACACAGCACCAGCTGCATGACTTCAGCAGCAAAACCAGCACTGTGCCAAGCAGAGGTACTGATAAAGAGCATCTCCAAAATAGATACCAGACAGTGACAGACTCAGCCATTTCGGGACCATATCCCTTTTCAACAACAGTGCTTTCTGTTGCAAGCCAGTTCTGCTTACAATAACGATGCAGAGAGCACAATACAGACAGTCTGGCATTTACCTTGCTCAAATTTGAAGTCTATATATGAATATTGATTCATTTCTTTCCTCCTTTTTCGCTTCCCGCTGGTTTCGGGAGACAGCTCCTGCCATTTTTTGATAGCATCTGAAAAGGCCTAGAAAACAACACACAGACTTAAATCCCTGGAAGAAAGCAGAAGCTCATCCTTTAAGCCAAAGCACAGTACAAACATGGGCACAGGACTGATCCAAAGCTGGAAAGCCAAGCACCCAATACTGAAGCAAACCTACATCTTTCCTTTGCTCACTTTGGTGCTGTATGCACTCAAAGTAATCATTCCATAAAAACAAAGTAGTGGAATGATACTTCTTAACACCTCAGCTATTAACTCAGAGTGGATGCCAGCTGTATTAAACAGAGCTGGTTTAGCTTTTCTTGTTGCCAAGTTTGCTTTTTGGTTTAAAAAAGTGAGGTTCAGATACTCAGTGTTCAGTCACTCAAGTGAAGTGACAAGGAGTTTCTGGTTTAGTTAAGTACTGGAATAGTAGGAAAAGAAGCTCAAGCAAGGGCAGTGCATCATAGGAACAGATCCAGGCCAAAAGCTTGAAGCCACGTTGATATTCAGTTGGTTGACACTTAAAACAAGTGTCTTTGCAGCTCCATTGCAGTGAAATTCTCTTACAAGGAATACAGGACTCGTTCCACAAGTCAGAAGAAGAAGAAGAAATGGGACAGTGAGACTTGGGCTGCTTTTCCATTAGTCAGTTAACTAACAGCAGCAATCAAATGTTCAAAGATTTAGCTAAATGTCTAGACTTTATTGGCAATTATCCTGCACTTCAGTGGCGACATGCAGGAACACTTCCCAGTTTGATGCATTACCCACCACCAACTAGTGTTTCCCCAGTTCTCTTATTAGAGAAAGTAAAAACTTCCTGCAGCATTCTGTCTGGCCAATGCATTTTGAAAATCTCTACTAAATGGATTAATACTTCTTAAAAGGAAAGGAAGATTATTATCTTCCATAACCACACACTAGGAGATGACACGGTAAAGGCAAAAGGCATTGTAATGTTCCCTACAGACACAGGAGAAAAGCTTAGGGAAGAAAAGAGACTTGAACTGGAGAACCTTTCGTGTGATTGCATAGTGTCCCTTGAGCTCGTGCAGTGCCCACTTGATGTCCTGACTGCTCAGCATTTTGAAGTCTGCCATGAGGAGGTCAGCTGCCTGGATAAAGCACCGCTGGTCAAGGGGGGCAAGTTTGGAAAAGTCAAAGTAGTCCACTTTAGGCACCTAAGGAGAAAGAGCATAAGATTAAAAGGCTGCCACAAATACATACAAGAACACCCTAAATCACTCTTTCAGTGATCAGGACCTTCTGCAAGACCACACAAAATTCAGGGTATGGGGAATCCAGTTCTGAGCCCCCACATAACCATCAGCTTAGAGCATGGCATGGGTGCAAAGCCCATGTACCTGCATGGGGCAAAATGCAGTTTCAAAGCCCCTCCATGAGACAGCAAGGAGAGGAAATATTTAGGTTACTACAGAGGGTGAACATCCTATTGGCTTGAGGTTGAGAGATTCTTCCAAGAGTAGAAAGAAGTGTTCAACATTCCTCTCTCACACAAAGCTATTTCAACATACTTAAAGCAGCTCAGAGAAGGTTTTGCCAAATGGACTCGTAAAAACACAAAAAAAATGAAGGAGCTTTAGGAAGATTTGCAGTTAGGAGGCTGAAAGGCAATGCCTAAAGGTCTCACAAAAGAAACCCGAGGGCCAAGGCTACTTCATGCAACAGAATGACTGTGGAATTCTTGTCTCAGTTATCAAAATGAACACTTCAGATGGGGCAGTGACAGGTAGGGCAGAGGGGTTCGCTGGTGGCAAAAGAGCAGACACTGTGCAGCTATGCCACAGCAAAACATGAAAGTCTTGGAAGTCATCTTACGAGCAACTAACTACTGTTCTTTAAGTCTTAAACATGCCCAGAGGCCTCCTGTGAAAGCCTCAGTCAAGCACTCCACAAACACACACTAATCAAACCAGACATCCCAGGTCCACTCAGGCTGAACAGACTGGCCCAGAGGCACACTGGAGATGAGGATACTCTCAACTTGCCTTTGTCTCATCTTGGCTGGCAAGCAGACTGCTGCTGGGATTTAAAACCACTCTGCCTTCCTTCTTTGGGTAATCTGGATTTTCCAGAAGAAAGTTACAAAGTCTGAAAAAACAAATACAGTTACTTCAGGGTTAGGGAGCTCAGGCTCATTCCTTGCTTGTTCAATTTTTAGCAACCTATAATTGTGAGGCTACATCAAGTCACAGCCTGCCCTGTAAGGGCCAAGGGAGGTCCTAGACTAGAGCAAACTGCAAGTAAATGACAGAACTAAGTAAAAAATGATTAGATATGTGAATGACAAGCAAACAGATTTGTCTTTCAACAACTACATTTACATATATGAAGCTTGTGTGAGTGAGCTCCTAATCATCTCTGGGAAAACCAGCATAGAAATCCCTACAAATCCCGTGGAAGGCTGATGTCTTCCTCAAAGTATTACAGATTCAAATTTGAATTAAAGCCTCCATCCTCGATCTACCGTCACATTAAAGCAACCTGGTCTAGTGGAAGGTGTCCCTGCCCATGTCAGCGGGGCTGGAACTAAGTGATCTTTAAGGTCCCTTCCACCCCAAACCATTCTGTGATTCTATGATTAAAGCAGAGACAAAAGCACATTTAAACTGTGTGTCCATGCAATATGTACTCTGAATACAGGTCTCATTGTAATAAAGCCTGAAATCACATCAGTATTATCCAACTTCCACTAGAAATTGGTCTGGTGAGAACAGCACTTGGAGAATAATCACTAAAATTGCTGAAAAAAATTGCCTGTAAATGCAGCATACCTGAGGTCCTATCAAAAACAGTCATAACTGTCAGGCAAAATTAGTTTAACTGCGTATTTTAGCTTAGAAAAGACTCAGCAAGCAGTTTCCAAATTCCCCATTGCTGGAAATCCACAAACACTCCAGAAGCCCTGCTGAAAGGGAAGGCTGCTGCAGGCTGTCTATCTGAATCAGATCTCACAGCTTATTCTCAGCCCTCACCAACCAGCTGTGCTGCCTGGGTCAAGTAACAGAAGCTGTTCCTCAGTTTCCCCAGCTGTAGAATAAGATCCTTCTGAAAGGAGCCAGGACAAGCAATTAACATTTGTAAAACTAGTGGAATGAGAAGGTGCTAGGCTGCAGCAAAGACATAATTGCAGCTAATTTACATTCCTGATGTCAGAAATCAGGCCCTAATTAAGAAATCTGAACTGGCTTGAAGCATTAACCCACTATCAAGGCACGATTACTTTAGCCCTGCTTTCACATTCAAAGCAGAGGCATTTCTTTTTGCTTAATCAGGTATTGACATACTGAGCCAGAAGCTTTTGACTGAGTGTGAATGCTCTGGCACACAAAAGCTGAATAGATGATACCCTGCTAAGAGGAGCTCCCACATCTTATCTTTCACATCAGTTGAAAGTTTTAAGAAGATCATTTCGGGAAAACAACAAAATATCTTATCCTTGAGCATTTAATAGCTTCCAGCTCCCACCTCCCCCATCCCTTTGGTAAAAGATAACTGTTTTAATCCAACAAAACAGAAACTTCAAGGAGCTCAAATCACCAGAGCTCAAACGAAAGGGTTTCAGCTGGGGCACGGTCAGGATACATTTGAACTATGCTGCGTGTTGCCATTTCAATGCTCAGGATTTTCAGAGATGTTAACCTTCAGTGTCTGACAATTAGTTAAGTGGGTCCTGGCTCACAACCACACACACTCACTGCACTGTTCATTAATATCTGCACCACAGGACACGGAGCCGGTTAAAAGCCTCATCCCTGCCCAAACCCAGCCACCCTTATTTATTATATTTCAAGCCTGATTCAGCTTAACACACCATGGAGATCAAAGAGACCCTACCAGCGAGGCTGACCAGTGCTCTGACCCATTTGTTCTCATACAAAAGCTGCAGTGACAACTCAAAAGATAGTTTGGTTAAAGGAATAAAAATATGGAGAAGAAATCTTTATCATCCAGTAAGTGGGTAATGCACCACTGAGCAGACACTGTAGCTGGCCTACAGGGAAGCCTGGAAGCACCTTTTCATCTCACTGGGTCTGCAGCACACAATGGGAAAGCAGAGATTTCGGGAGCAAAAAGGGAAGGAACACATTAAGACTGATAGAAGCCAATAGTGGGATTTAATTCCATCAGGCTTTGCAAAATCCCTGCCGGACAGAATAACGAGGTTTTTCACACAATCTGTGAGGGTTCTGCAGGCAGATGCCCAACTTCAATAGGCTGATCAAGCCAGGGACTGGCCCTGCTGGTGTTCTACACCCACAACACAACCATCCACCCTGAGGTGCACCAAGGCCATGGTGTGGGTACCTGGGAGCTGCTCCATCAGTGCACAGAAAGCACTTCTGAAAGACAAGAAAGAAGTTACAGTCTGGTGACTTTCCAACCAAGAAGACCTACTTTGAAGCCATGACTGCAAAATGCAGCAAAGCAGCAGAATAGGAAATCTATGCCCAGTGAATGGGATCAGCCTTAGCTCCTTGCCAGTTAACTTATTTATGGCCCAATAACTAATTCTAAGCCTCACGCACTTAAACGCTGTGTAATTAGTGCCCTAGTTAACTGGAAAGGGCATTGGATTCATACAAGATGGAGTGAATACTCTGGCAACCAACACCTATTCTTCATTCTTGTATCACACAGTAACCAGTTCTGACACACTGGGAGACAGTGACAGTTGCAGAGAGAGCAAGAGAGAGGCCACCAAGCATCAGACACTAGTCACGAGTGATTTACTTCAAACCACTCTCCCCTCGGTGCTGCTGGTGCCAACACACGCAATCCTCCACTCCTCAGGCTGCACCCATGAGGACAGGGAGATGATGCAACTCAGCAATAAGGTTAATCACTTCTTTTTTTAAACTTTTGATTTTACCATGACTCCCAGAGGTCTCCAGCATGATGAGCACTAGGGAATTCCTGAGCTGCAAATGCAACAGTCCTAATGATAATTTCCCGTTTCTTTTACCTCACTTCTTGGCTCCTGTTTCTGCTCAGTTTGACCAAAATCAGTCCCTCTACAGATATCTAGAGCCAATCCCACCAGCCCTCAAATGTGCTTGCTCTATTCTATTTGCAAAAAGTGATGTGAGAGAACTCAAACAGCACCACTGCTACTTGAGTAAGGGGATAAAGGCCAAGATCATGACACTAAACAATGGAGGCCAAACCAGTGTCAGCTTTACCTGGAAAAAGCCCAACAACACTGAAATGAAGAGGTAGGGAACAACTTTTACTACCTCAAAACTCACCAACCCACCTTCATCATGTTTTTATAGAAGCCATCTCAACACCTTAATCCTGCCACCCTTTTTGAGAACCCTAGGTAAGACTTAAGATAAAATTATACGCCTTTAAATAAGCAAGTTGTCTTAGATGCAGCGAAGCTACAGCACAACATCAGAATTACAGAGGATTTAACAATATAGTAAGTTTAAAAACTATTCTGTGTTCTTTGGCCCTATCAATTCAGTGCTGACTCCCAGCCCAGATGTGCTCTAGAACAGCATCAGCAGCAGGTGGGGACATGGAAATGTGCTGCAGTTGCAGGATACACCCTGGCTCTTAGCTCTATACTTACACATTTAAGTCATAGCAGTTCTTGATGATGATTAATTCTTCAATATATTCCTTCTTCACATCTGGGAATCTTGCTTCCTACAGTAGGAAAAGCTAAAGGTTATGTAGGTATTAGAGGAGCTGTGTAGAACAACCCATGAACAGCACCAAAGACAAGGATTAATTAACTAGCACTCTCTTGAGACTAGGGACAAAAGGGATTTCAAGACACCATTTATATCCATCCAGCCTGGTTACTGCAAGCTGCTGGCTTTGCTCTGCTCCACAGGATGATTGCTAACAACTCCTTCTCACAAGAGTGTGGGTAGTGATGTGAAAGGCCATGAGCAGTTGGCCTAAAGAGTGATTCAGGCTCCACGGAGAGAGGTGAGGCATGTAGGAATGATCTACAACACAAGAAGAGCTAATATTTACCTTCAGCCAGACAACCAAGGAGTTCCAGAATGTGTGCTGAAATACAACATTCTAAAGCAAAAGGAAAAACCCCAACAACACATATACCTACCCAAAGCACTCAGACACTAGCAACAAGACCAGACCAGACAACAAACCCTTACTGGCATTTCCGTGAAGGCTCTCCCAGGGTTTGCCACATAGCAGAGAGAACCCTTTGCAGCTCTCTGAGTGTCTATACAGGTATTGTAACTGATTGCACCACGTGGTATTTTGCTTTGCAAGACCGGACTGGTCAGAGTTGTCAAGCAACACTAACAATGCAAGAGGAGCTCCTTACCCATCTCTAAGCAAGTCACTCATCCATGAGGTCTTACTAGGAAAGAACTGAATTTTGTGACTGCTACTCATAGAATAATTTTCCTTGACCTCAGTGCAAAATTAGACACCTGAATCACCACATTTTTATTTTCCTTTGGTTTTCAACTATACACCATGTGGCCCCAAACTGCTGAATATACCAGAGGGTAATGAGTATCCTTCTTGGTGGGTCAGTTCTTGTAGTTAGTATCCCTCATCCTAAGCTTCACACACAGAATCAGCAAGGACTGCGTGAAGTTAACATACACAAGTCTTCATGCTGCTTATCCAGTTATCCTTGCAAGCTATACTGCTTGGAAATCCACACTGCAAGGACAACCATTACCCCTGACCACCACAGTGGCCTTCACACAGCCATGGAACAAACTACTTTAGGAGAACCAGCTGAAAGCAGCCATGGCTCTCAGCCATGTGTCTTTTCTGTCCTCTATCCCTTTGCCAGGGTTTAGTGTCTCAGTTTCTCTCATTTTTTAGCTTTACATCCATTCCTAAACCACCTCTACAAAGTCGGGTTAGGAACCAAACAGTAAAAAACAAACTAGCAGAAGTGAGAGGGTAATAACCTTTCACGGAACAGACACATGTTACTTCATCTCAAACCAAAGTTTTCCAAGACAGTTCATTCCATGCTCTTCACCTGGTATTTGGCTGGGTCTCAGTCAAAGCAATGACGATTTGCAGCTGGAGTTACAAGGGCAGAATCCTTTGAAAAACCTGTCCGAAAATATCATGCACACAGGAAGCAAATGAGCCCTGGGAATACTTACTGTCTCCCTGATGAGCAGTGCAGTGAGGTCCTGCTCCTGCCCAGCAGCTCCTTGTTCTGGCACATTACTCGAGCCAAGTTCCTGAGAGCCCTGTGGGAGGAAGGCTGGACCAGGCTGCTCGTTGTCCACCCCTGCCTGCTGCCCCGTGTCCTCCGGAGGATGTGCTGGCTGGGGGGAAGCAGGGCCTGGAATCCCGTCCTGCTGTGGCTCCGGTCGGGGAAAGGCTGGCCCGGGAGCCTTCTCTCCATATGCCCTCAGAGATTCTGGGTATGCCTCTGGCTGCCCTTGCTGAGGAGCACAACCATTTGCTACAGCGTGTGTTTCGCCTTCCAGGGGCTGGAAGCACAGGCGATCCGGCTGGCTGCTCCCCTGGATCTCCTGCTCTGTGCCGCTTGCAGCAGCTGTTCCTTTCAGGTTTTGCTCTGGCTCCAAGCTCTCTCCTTGCTGGGTTTCCATCTTTTCCTCCTGTTGTGGTGGAAGGTCTGCATTCTCCAGACTAGCAGTGTTAACAGCAGGCTGTGGACTCGTCTTTCTTGCTGGCAGCAAACTCGGGCCAGGCTCCTGCTTACTTGTGAGTTCAGAGCTGGGGCCATTGAGCTTAGAGGGTCCAGGCTGCTCCAAGGCAAAGTTCACACTCTCATCCCTGCTTGGTCCAGCACTGCTGTCCTCCACGTGATTATACTCATCTCCCTGGCAGGGCAGAGCTGAATCCTGCTCATCCTGCACAGATGTGCTCCCCGAGGGCTCCACAGCACTTTTAGATCCTCCTTCTCCCACAGAGTTTGCCCCTTGCCATGCAGCAGCAGGTCTGATGACATTAGGACGCAGAGGCTGCTGAGGCTTTGGAGTCTAAAAAGACAGACAAGAGTTAAGTAGGAATTCCTGTCTCCACATCAGAATCTTTGCTCCAGATACTAATCTAACCAAATTTCTGATGGGAAACAAAGTCTGTTTAGCAAATGCTTAATAAGGCAACTGCAACCCACATCTTTGTTTCACTGAACTCTGGTGCTAAGAGAACACCTGGCAGAACTGGGGATGAACAGGACTTTCAGAGTGGAATCATTTCCTAAGCTCACCTCAATACCCACTTCCCTCCCAGTTTAATAGTCTGGGAAGGAAGAACTAACTGAAGGTATATTTGTGTTCTCACCAATTTATTTAAACAGGAACAAAAGCTTAACACATCAATCTCTGGCCTTGTTCTTGCCTCTGGCAGACAGACTGCTCTATGCCAACAGAACCCAAGTGTTTTCTACTACTCTTTTCAACTAAGAAACAGAAAGATCAGCTTTGCAACTAATTTTCTCAATGCTTCTGGTTAATTTAATAGAAAAGTGGGATATGTTCTTGGATAACATCAATATGAGATGTTGCAAAAATCTAAGTGCCTGCAACAGTCCAACATGAATGCAAATAGCATAAAGGAATATTAAGCATACAAGGTGTGTACGTACATCAAACAAGGCATGGTTTGAAAAAACACCTTCTATGGAAGATTGAGTCCTCTTAACACAACTGTATGGGAGCTACAACCTTCCTTAAGTAGAACTTTAACTACAATGCCTAGTTCTCCCCTCCTTTGCCCAAAATATGATTAAACAAAGCCTACAAAATGTCATTTCCACATTATTTCAGACATCCCAAGCAGACTGCTGTAACCAGACAGGACCCAAAGGAATGCATCAAATACTTGTACAAGAGTTGACTTTACAGGCCATGAATAAAGCAGAGGAACTATAAGAATGAAAAATTACTTCTGCCAAGATGACTACATCATCATCTTCTTCCTCAGGCTGCTGCTCTGCTGGCACTTCCAGCAACAAAGGTAATTCTTCATCCGAGGAATCTGATATCGTGATAAGACTTTCTTCCCTGTGGTTTATCCAGTCTGCAGCACAGTGAGTAAAGCCAAAGTTAGCTGTTTGCTCAGGGTAAGCAAAAGGAATTATAATAGCACATCAAAACATCTGAAAAAGCAATCTTCACGTGTGCATTGCAGCAGCAGAGAAGCACTCAGAGGTCACCAACCCCTCTGCAAGGTACTCCTATAGCCACTCCTACCTCCCTTGGCCTCAGAGCAAACACTTGCTCAGCCACAGCTCAGCACAGCAGCACCTGCACGAATACTCACTGACACTGCACAGTCTTCCACCCCAAACTTCAGCATGAGTCAAGCTGCTGCAAAAGTTACTCTGAACAAGCCATGTAGAGAGCACTTTTGCAACGAAGTCCTGAACGTTCAGCATTTCAGGGACATTACATTTTCTTTTATTAAGGTGCAGTGCAGCAGAAAGATAAGGTTCTCTGTGCAATTTGGTTTCTTCTGAAACAGTGTGACTCTGCAGGAGTACCTTATGCAAGGCTCAGACAGGGCTCCTGGCTGTGGGTGCAGAAAATATCCTGCTATTAGATGACAGCCTTGTCCCTCAAGGTGTCTTGCTACTGAACATGAGAGATTTTTCAAGGCAGAAACAGAAGGTTTCTGTACTGCAGAGAGAGCATATCGCCATGCTAAAACTTGACACAACATTTTGGCTTATATTTAGCAAGAGTATTCATTTATCACCTTTCAGGTGAAGCAGCATTACGAATTCTGCTCTGGGAGGAACAGGTGCCCACACAGAGCCCTGTCAGGGCATGGATGCAGAGCCAGCCTGTCTCCTACAGTCCTCAGAGGGGTGGGATACCAAAAGCCCCTCAGAGCTGCTCAAACACCTCTACATGGTATTCTCAAGAAGTTAACAATCTCCCTTAAGGCAGCACAACATGAGAAAGACAAGAGCCAAATATTTTGCATGCCTGCATGAAATGAAAGAATTCTGTGTAGGTGGCTAAGTCAGTGTAACAGAGCAATGTGTGACATGGCAACACAGACCACCAGCAGTTCTCAACCACAGCACTCCTGAATGTTTAGTGTCTGTGAATCCTCTTGGACAGAAAACAAAGTTTTGGAAATAGGCACAAATCAATTCTCACCTTTCCCTCTGTGGCCGCAGAAGCTGTTCAAGTTAATCACTTCTTCATTTCCACCTCCCTCTGCCATTTTAAAAAGCTGCACCAGAGAGTGTCAGTGCCCAGGCATGGCAGTCAGGCTGGCATGAGGAACTAGAAGGTAAAATAAAACCAGGAGAGAGTAAGGCAAACTCAGCAGCACTTCAGTCAGGCTTCCTCAAGACTAAGCCACTAGAACACCCTGGGAGTTCTCCTGGCTCTCCCAGCAGTCTCTCCACAAGGATATTTTTCTGCACCCCCTTGTCAGTACCCAAAAGCAAACATGTCTGTTGTCTTCTGTTCCAACAGTTGACAGATGACTGAAGAGCCAATCAGGCCTGAGAAGTTTCTCTGGAGGTAACATGAAGATTCTTACAGCTATGCAATCACAGAGAGGGAAAGGGGAAAGATGCAATTCTATCCAGGACTCAGGCCCTGCCAACATGTGGATCTTCTCCTGTTTCAAACAAGTCCAAAACCTAATGCATCCACTTGTTTCTGTCACCATCAACTGGTGAGAGAAGCAAAAACCACTTGCCTGAGGTTCCTTCAGAGGACTGAGCTTTTGTGACTAAACTTTGCTACCCCCACCTGTCCCCAAAGAGGCACAATGAACTGACTGGAGGCTTCCAACCAGGATTAGGGGGGCAGAGGAATCCCTGAACAGGAGGTTTCCATTTTATACTCTGTCAGCTTATAGCTCTCAATTCATGCTCTCACAGAGGCTGAACACACACAGGAACTCCAAGCACAGCTTGAACACTGGAAGGAGAAAGAAGGTGCTTTTGTTGAAAAGTATTCATCTCATTGCAGCACAGAGGAATCTGTACTATTAAATATTTACTGATGCATAAGTTGGAAGAAAATGGTGGCTCTGCTGTAAAATCCTGTTTGCTAGTACACAAGAGCAGTATAAATTCCTCCTCAGTAATTCCACTTAACATCCTCTGCAGGGAACAGGATTTGCAGCCAGAAGAATGAAGACATCAGTTCAGATACATAGCAGACTCATACCTACTCCCCTCTTCCCCAGGGAACTAGTTATTACTGTCTTCAAAATATTTGAATACAGGATAAAATAATAAAAATAAACACGTATAATTTAGCACTTAAAGAAGCCCAGCAGCACAGCTCAGTGCCTGAAGCAGCCTCCTCCAGAGGGAGCCTCCAGCATAAAGGTTTCAAGGCTTGGCTACAAGCAGCCACTCACCTGGACCCTGCACTGCTGATGGCACAGATTTGGGTGGGCCATTGGAATTGCAGAGGTCTCTCTTAACCAGCACCTGTATTTGAACCCCAAGACTTCATAGCACACCCTGTTTCCAGTAAGGAGCTCTGACAGTATTGTGGGCATATTGGTGCTTTGAAAATGCCTGAAAAGTAAAACTTCAGAAGTGTTTCCACTAGGTCCTTCAGCTTCTGCCTCATAAGGGGGAATAAATCTTATTTTATTTGCCCAAATGGCATGAAAGTGCTGTTCTCATCACTGCAGGCAGGTGCTGGAGTGGCAGCTCAGGTGTTGGGTCATTCTAAGTGCCCTTGGTGAAAAGTGTGGCCTTTCTAAAAGGTCACATCCACATTATCACAGCTGTATTTTCCCTGGTACTCATGAACAGCTACCACCTAGTCCTGTGGAGCATTCTTCCATCCTTATCTCTCTCAGACCTTTAGAAAACCAGATCAATAAGTTTCCTGCCAATTAAATGATGGAGAAATGGAAGCACAGAGAGGACCAGTATGGCCAAGGCCACCAAATAAACACAACGAAGGATCACTCCAAGCTGGATGGGGAGGAACAAGGACATTGGTGAAAGCCACAAATTAGCCCTCACAGCATCAAATGGCACAGACATAGGCTAGACAGGTGTCTGCTTGGATCTGCTCCCAGCAAATCCAAGTGCTCAGCAAAGTCACCAAAAAATATCCTCTCCCAAACAGCTCAAATAGTGTTTGTCCAATGCTGGCTAAACCCCAGCTCTTCACATCCAAGACTGATGGATAAGCCACAAAACTAACATTAAGGTCGTCTCTGGTTCCCATAGAGGGCAACTTGCACACTTCAACCCTCAGCACTACGAAGCACAAGAAAAAATCTGAAATGAAATCTGGCCTTAAAAAATGTCTATCATGTCATACCAGACAAAGATGTGCACACATCACCAACAGACTCATGGTGGTTTAAAAGCAGGAATATAATAAATAGCATTAACTGTAATACACAGTCAAGGCAACAACAAAAAAAACACCATAACAAGCCAAGCCTGGAAAGAACTGGCAATCCTTTCTACTTCAAACCAGCCTGAATAAAACCCCAAGCAGCTTAATAAAGCCTTGCTTTGAGGGTAAAAGCCAAGCTTCCACCAAGAGCTAGCAATTCGTTTTGTCAATACTCAATACAGAGCTGAAGTTTAAACAAATATCTATAAGCACAGGCCAGTTCCATCTAGTGGCATGAATAAGAAGTTTGTTCATGTTTATAGCACTAGGCCGCCAAGAATGTGAAGTAACAAGATCAAAGCCACCCTGGGGTCTTGCCCTACATAAACAACAATAAAAAAGCAAGGAAGACAGATGGAAGGAAGCTACTCCACATTACCTCAGTGATTTCAGTGCCTATTTATAGGTAAAGAATAAGGCTACCTCTAACCAAGCTCTAACATGCCCATCAGCTTTTTTGCAGTACAGTTGAGGACAGGAAATTAGAAGTGTTTTAAAATCAAAGGACCTGGCAGCAGCCACAAACACTTGCAAGCTTTTTAGTTTTCCTTTCTTTTCTTAAAAGGCTCCCACCTGCACTACAGTACATCAAGCTGGATTTGGGGCTTGAATACATTATCCAGATGACACAAAACTCA